TGAAGACACCTGAGGCCAATCTATGTCTGCCTCCACCTTAAGGTGACTTCATTCTTATGCATAACATTTTAATCTTTGGAGTTCAAAATCCTCACCATGGTCTGGCTTGATGTTGAAAACTCTGTGTCTCTTTCCCCTGAAAAACAGTGTAGTCTTTCAATATATAAATTCAGTTTTTGCTTCATTTTAGCAAAAAGTTTCTATGTGATATATTTGAATATTTTTTCTGTTTCATTCATTAGTTTCAAAATTCAGGATGCCAACAGTGGATCATCTTTGTTCTCAGTATCTATTACCATTTCTGAATTTTCTTTAATCTCTTCACCTTTTGATTCTCTGCTCTGTAATTATCTCATTGTAATAAAAATCTTCTCTGTATGTTAGGTAAGTCTCTGGATTCATCTCCACTGTGTATTTTCCATTGTGTTTCTGGTCTGTGGAGATCTTTATTTTGTCTTGAGTGGAATCTATGCCCTTAAAGATATTTTAAAATATATTCCATCATTTCTATATGTTTGGGGATGGAGGGCAAAAGCAAAAAAGGAGGGCTTGCGTGTCTTTTAAATTCTAGCATGACCAGAATTTTTAAAGCTCTTCTGTGTCTATCTCATTTTTATTCCTAATGATGGTTTTTTTGGGGGGGGGGGGTTCCTCTTCAAGCTTTCCAGAAGCTATTTCTTCCTTGTGGGATCATTTTCCTTCACAAGTTTCTTATTGAGTCCCTGTTGGTAAAACACAATTACAATGTATTTTATTTGGAGTGGCCTTAATTTTACCCCTGTTGTTTCTTCTCTTACTGTGATGGCTAGAATCACCTTTGTTCTTTCTTCTTTTACTATGATGGCTAGGGTCCTTCAGCACAATGTAGAATAGGAGTGATGATAATGGGAACATCAATCAGAGTCCAGCTGGGAAAACAGCAACCATTCTAGGTATTTCAACAGAGGAGATTTAATAGAAGAAATTGGTTATACAGGTGATGGGAGAATAGGGAGTCCAACAGCTGCACTTAATATAGCAAGAAAAAGTATCGGTCACATTACTACAGAGTTTATAAAACCAGCCAAAGATAAAGACAAATATTAAAATGGTGAATTCACCCAAAGATGAGCAGCAGCAGGGCAATTTACCACCCTGGCCTGGAGGAAAAAAGGAGGAGTGGGGTTCACAGAGCTCAGGAGCAAGGACTACCCAGTGGAGAACCATAACAGTGACCAGGCTGGGACAATAGAGAAGACTCCAGAGATGGTACAGAACACAGAGGGAGAGAAGAAGGGAAACACTCTGGTTATACCTTTCTGCTCCCTCCTATGTGTTACCATCACTTCTCACTGGTCAGACCTAGCTGGGTGCTAGAGGGCTAAGGTGCCTTGGAACGTATGTGCCATACCTTGCGATGAAACAGCCGTTTGCTTGTGGGGGTGGGGATATAATTTTAAATTAAAATTACTCAGAACTTTGGAGACATTTTCCATTTTTATGTCTCCTTTTATTTTAAACTTTAGACAATTATGTCTCAAGGCTGACTTCCCATGTTTCTTAACTTTTCTCTCATATTTTTCTATCTCTACCATTTGAGTATAAATTCTGAGAGATTTCCTAAACTCTATCTTCCAGATCACTAACCTTCTATTTTAATCATAATCTACTCTAAAATTTGTTTCCTTTGCACAATTGTTTTTTTTTTAAATCATCTTTACAAAGGTATAATGTACTCATTTTAAGTACATAGTTCAATGAGTTCTGGCAAGTGTGGACAATCAAAATGCTTTTAGATGCCACTCATGTTGCTGCTTCTATCAGTAGCTTGTTCCTTTTTACTGGTGAGTAGTATTTAATTGCGTGGTTATAGCCATTTGCTGATCTGTTCATCTGCTGCTGTTTGTTTGAATTGTTCTCATTTTGGGACTGTTACAAAGTTGCTGAACATTTATGTCTTTGTATAAACAAATGTTTTCATTATCTTGGGTAAATACCTAGAAGTAGAATGGGCAATCATATAAGTGAATGGTTAACTATATACAGACTGCCAAATGGTGCCATTTTACATTCCCACTGGCAATGCATGACCGTTCCATCCAGTTGCTCTCCAGCCTCACCAACACTTGGCATTATCAGTGTTATTAATTTTAGTCTTTCTGTGGGTGTGTAGTGATGTCCAATTGTGGTTTTAGTTTGCAACGTGCCAGTGAATAGTGTAGTGATATTGAGTATCTTTCAAGGTATTCAGAGCTGATTTGCTACTCAAGTTCCCCGACAATGTCCTTGAAAATGCACTGCCTGCTAGTCACTCCACTTCAGGAAAATCGGGTTAAGTCTAGCTTCTGTCTGAGTTGTGAAAAGATTGTGTCTACTTCTGCCTTTCAGATAATCATATTTTCCACCTAAAATGACATTAGTAAGTGTGGTAGGCAGAATAATTTCTCCCTTTTCTCCCTCTGCCCCAGATATGTTCATGCCCAAATCCCCAGAACCTGTGAATGTGATAAGTTATATGGCAAAGGGCAATTAAGGTTGCTTATTAGCTGATCTTATAATAGTGTGAATAGCCTGGACATCCAAGTGGCTCAGTATAGTCACAAGGGCCTTTAAAAGTGAAAGAGGGAGGTGGAAGAGGAGGTTAGACGGATGCAACATAAAGACTCAGCCCAATATTGCTGGCTTTGAAGATGGAGGAATGGGGTCACAAGTCAAGGAAAGTGAGCAGCTTCTAGAAGCTAGAAAAGAAACAGATTTTCCCCTAGAGCCTCTAGAAAGAATACAGTCTTGCTGATACATTGATTTTAACCCAATGAGACTCATTTTTTTTTTTAAACAAAGTGAATTTTTTTTTTTTTTAAAGATTTTATTTATTTGACAGAGAGAGAAGCGAGGGAGGGAACACAAGCAGGGGGAGTGGGAGAGGGAGAAGCAGGCTTCCCGCGGAGCAGGGAGCCCAATGTGGGGCTTGATCCCAGCACCCTGGGATCATGACCCGAGCTGAAGGCAGACGCGTAACGACTGAGCCACCCAGGCACCCCCCAATGAGACTCATTTTTGATGCCAGACTTCCAGACCTGTAAGATAATACATTTATGTTGTTTTAAGCCACTAAGTTTATGGCAATTTGTTATAGTAGCAATAGAAAATTAACACATTGAGGTAATCATTTACGGTGACAATTACTACCACTGAATAATCAGAGGACGAACCAACTACGGTTTATTCACCAACACTTTATCCCCATTCCAACTTTCCTTTTGGCCATTTCATTAAAATCACCATTAAGAGATGGCAGAGACTCTAATGATTTGCTCAGTTTTAGGTTGTATTAGCACAGCTTCAAGAAGATAGCTTGATAGCAAGAGTAAGTCTGACCAGGAGTTAGAAGTGGTTTCAGCTACCCATGCTTTCCCCTATGCTCAGTAGCTACTATTTTCTGTTTCCTGCTTATATTCCAGAAAAAAATAGAAGGCAGCAGGTGCACTGAGGTTTGTGACCACACTGACAGTTTTTTTGTTTTTGTTTTTTGCTTGTTTTTTGCCTATGGTATGTTATTTCAATTTGGGCCAAATATAAAGCATTTGAAGTGAGATCAGTGCAAGCCCTTCACCAGGGGAATACAGTGTACACACAGGAGTACCCTTGGTGGGTGTACTAGTTTTTTTTTTTTTAACCACAGAGCGGGCAGATTAAACAACACGAACTTATTTTCTCAGTTATAGGGGCTAGAAGTCCAGGGTCAAATTGCTAGCAGGGTTGGCTTCTTTTGAATCCTCCCTCCTTGGCTTATAGATGGCCATCTCCCTCTTATGTCTCCACATGGTCTTTTCTGGGCCTGCATTCTTTATGTCCCAGTCTCTTCTTAAAAATTCACCAGTTATCAGATTAGGGCCCATCCATAGGATTTTACCCTAATTAAAGGTCCTACCTTCAGGGGCACCTGGTGGCTCGGTCGGTTTAGCATCTGCCTTCAGCACAGGTCATGATCCCGGGGTCCTGGGATCGAGACTGGTGTTGGCGTCAGGCTCCCTGCTCAGCGGAGAGTCTGCTTCTCCCTCTCCCTCTGGGCCTCCCCTGCAACTGCTCATGCTCGCTCTCTCTCAAATAAATAAATATCTAAAAAAAAATAGAAAAATAAAGGCCCTCCCTTCAAATATAGTCATATTCTGAGCTACAGCAGGGAGAGTTAGGATTTCAACATACGAATTCTGAAGAAACACAAGTCAGCCCTCATCAGAGAGCCCTTATCAAAGGCTATGAAATAAGGCATATAGAAAATGTTCAAGAAAACTAAAATGAAAGTATTTAACTTCACATCCAATATTTATGCATAAGAGAAAATTTAAATGGATTTCAAATGATGATTTGGAGTGAAGATATGCCTAGATTTTTGTAATTAGTTGTATAAGGAAATGAGAAAACTGGCATTTTGTGTTAAGCCCTGATAGTGATAAAATAAAGCGAGCACCGGTATAAAAACAGTAAACACGGTGTTATACAGTACATCAATATTTATAAATATTTACAGTAACAATCCTAATGATGAAAAATGGTAAGCTGTTAAAATAATTACCTAAAACATTATTTCTTGAGTTCAAGGACAACTGTAGAAACACACACTAATCAACCTGGCTGGAATCATAAGACGTAATGTGAACTCAACACTTCTGAAAGAAGAAAGTAAAAATTCATAGTTTATTGTTCCAATACAAGGATGAGGAAGTCTCTTGCAGTGTCAATCATTTAAATATGAATATTTTCAATATTCTGTTAAGAGTAATTTGGACTAATAGCTTGAGGAAGAAGTAGAAACACTTTTTAGAAACTATGGAATGAATCTAGTAGTTTCTTAATATACACTGAGTTGGACCTGATTGGTGGACGTTTCTCCCCTATTACTCTGTTCCCACTACCACAGACCAACCCAATACATAAAAACTGGAATCTATAAGCATCTGTAGTACCTGCAGAAAAGAAATCAGGAGATAAGGGCACCAAATAGAACACAAGACTTAATATACTGTTTTATCCTTTGAAGATACTTTAATTTTGCTGTTATGATTAATTAAAAAACACAGTTGTTTTCAGCATTTCCTAGCTACAGTAGTGCATAGGAAATTCCATTCTAAACAAAGAATTAATTAATGAAATAACAACACACCTTAACATTTTACATTGATAAGTTACAGTTTACAAGGTGCTTTCACATACATTATTTCATTTGAGTCTTACAACAAGCAGATAAAACAGTCAGTGGGAAAGAAAAAAAATTTTTTTTTTGTTTTTGTTTTTTTAGGCTTACGATGAGTATTTTCAGGCCAATGGGCAGTCAGTACAAGAACACATCAAAAACAAGACAGCAATACCCACAAGCCACAATATCTTTTTTTGGTAGGTTGACAGTTTGATATCAATTGGATATTTAGCATCAGTGAAGGAGGAAGGAATCAAAACAGACATGAGGTCCTCATGATATTCAAAAAACTGTAAGAACCCTGTAAGAGATAAGGAGAAGAAAGAGAAGAAAGGCCCTAAAATATCGCCTTGCCAAGACTTACTTCAAAGCACATTATCCCTTCAAACTGTCAAATAAAAAGAATCCTGTCATGACATGTGAAAATTAGAAAAGGCCTTAGAAACTGCCTAATGGAACTCATTTTGAAGAGCTAAGGCCAAGGTCATGCTGCCTGTGACAGACCAGCCTGAGACCCATGTCTTTGACTTCAAATCAGGGGGTCCTTCCTCTGCAATGCCATCTCCTTATTATTTACTGAGGAAAAATGTAATTTCTTCTGTTTCAAATAATGTAATCTGAGGTTAAATACTGATTCATTCCACTTATTTCTTATTCAAGTTTTTATCTTGTTCTTGGCTAAATTGTGGCTAAAACTGTGAGTTTTATATAACTTTAAGATATTCTAATTCAGTGTACTTGATTGGCTGGAAATAGACTCCCTTGACATATCTGAAAGCTTGCTCATGTCCTTTAAATGGAGAGTAAAATGGGCATGGCGAAATAGCCCTCAAAACCAATGTACGCCTAGGGGTCATCTACCTAGGCAGAGTTTACAGCAAGTTGTGCAGGGCAATAGTAATTTTATTTAAAACATTTTTTTTTAGAACTTACAGAAATCTTTTTAATTGCTGAAAACTAAAATGTAATAATCAAATTGTCATCCCCATGATTTATTAAAATAATTTTACAATAATATACAATAAAGCTACCATAGAATTTGTAGCATACACATAGAATACAATGATCAGCATGTTCTTGGGCCAAAAACTAATTAAAATATTTTATACAAGTGATGTTTTAAATTTATTAACATGATGATATATTTTTGTCACATAAAACTTGATACAGCGAAGTATTTCATATTTTTGTTGCACATTTTAAATATAGGTGGACCAACTGAAATCAGTATCAGCTTTTAAATGACATAACCATGCAAAAACACTTGACAACCAAAAGATGTACAGATTGATGCAGAGAATATTCCAGACAGGCTTTTTTAAATGTCTTCAAAGGTTTTACAAGGGTACAGAGGAAAAGAAGTAGAGTCAGTGACCTGCACCAATAATGAAGCAAATAGAATGCTTATATACACTAAGATCGGTTTGATTAAAAACAACTTATATGCATGTAAATTGATCATAAAAAATGAACACAGTTTATTTTCGACTCTTTCGGTGTGTTGTTTTAAGATAGGTCACTGACACACGGAGATAAAATCAGATGGCAAAATTTAAAAGCAAGGAAAAAAATATTTAAAAAACGGAGGTAAGCCATGGATTCTCAACAAACATTGAACTAAATGTGCAAAAGTGCTTGAAATTTCCACGTGACAGCAATTTTGTTGGCAAGGAAGTATAAAAAAATTAAACTCAAATACTAAAATTGTATCTGCATGATCATACATTCTGTTTCCTGAAAGAAAAGAGGCTTGAAATTCTGACATGTCTAAAAATATCACACCTCAAAATTAAAATACAACTGTGGCAGTTTTAAAAACTTTGTCCCTTTTCCTCATTGATGAGGCATAGGATGAAAGCCGAAGCTTCAACAGCGCCTCTACCTCAGACTGACATACAGATTATACCGGAATAACCTGGCAATAATTCCTTTTGTTCTTAACTGTGACAAAACAAAGCAAAGCAAAACAAACAAACAAAAACCTCATATAAATAAGAACATCTCTATACCGTTTACAAGTATCAAGCCATTTGTTTGACTCAGCGAAGTATTTGTCCGCATTGTTTTTAGCTCATTTCTTTTCCTTTAAAAAGCTTACCATGAGGACTATTTGAGAAACTAAAAAAATTGTCACTTACTTCATCAGTCACGTTCTGTTAAAATACTGGCTAAAACCCTTATGGAGGAGTGAAGGTTTAGAAATCTTAGAGTTAGCTCTAATACCTACATAAAGGCTGGTACCAAGCGATGATCCATAGCATTAGTTTTTCCTGTGAATGAGACACATTTGTCACACTGCACAGCTGGTCACTTAATTACTCGAGGGGAAGATGATACAAAAGGTAGTGAAGGGAAATAGAGCCTCTGATCTCTAGGAATCCAAATTGCTGGGTCTAGCTACTCTATGTTAGTCTGCCCAAGTGTCTTGCCAGAACAGTGAATTCTAGGAAAGTTATTGTTTTGTTTTGTATAAACTGCCTTGTTGATAAGACATTGTCTTCAAAAATTGTCAAAAGTTTTGGCAAAACAGTCTGAGCTACTCAAAGTAAAAACAGTTATTGAAAGTATATCCTCAAGCCACTGACCAACAAAAATAATGGCAAGAACTACCGAAGGCAACACTCATCCTTCCTTTCAAATATCACAGAGCCATAACACTGCCCATCTGAAACACCAACAAAATAAAATGGAACACTGTTTGGAGAAAAACTGATGAAAATGAAAAAAGGAAGAAATGGATGTAGGGGAGGAGAAAGACAAACCAAAGGGAAGCAGGAAAGTGTCTAGTTGTGTGTTATGGCACAGATAATGCTTTGCTTAGCGGTGCCTTGTTACATAGGTGGATGCAGAGCGCACACACGATGGCAATAAAGACCTCACTCAGTCGCTGGAATGACGAAACTAGGTAACTGCTTCAACAAGGACGGTCTCAGCTCCACCGTATCTCTCAACAGAGTGCAAAGACTGAGTGTAAGCTCTGATGTTATCTTGTTGCTCAGCTTTAAAATTCACAAAATTCTTTTGCACATTTTTCTGTTATAGAGACGCGGATATCTTCTTCTTCATAGTCATCAAAATTGCTGGTATCTCCAGAGCCTCTGAACTTTGGTATGAATGGTGCTTCAACCTGTAATTGAGAAGGAAACATAAGTGTGATATGATATTATGATTATAATAAATTTGGTCTTCGTCCTAGTCCCCAGCGCAGAACTCTTTAAACTCTTGGATTCCATAAATGTTATGTTAATGAGGTGACTTTTGGAAAGCCCCTAGCCAACCTAAGGATGGGCGCTGGTTAGACACTCAGAACTTTCAGTCTTACCCCCTGACCTCCAGGAAACAAGAGGGGCTAGAGGCTAAGCTCAGTCGCCAATGGCCAATGATTTAAAGAATCATGCCTACGTAACGAAGGCATAAAACTTCAAAAGGATGGGGTTTAGAGAGCTTCCAGGTTGATGAACAAATGGGAATTTGGGGAGAGTGGTGTGCCTGAAGACACAGCAGGAAGCTCTGAGCCCCTTCCACATACATGTCCTATGCATCTCTTCCATCTGGCTGTTGCTGAGTTACATTCTTTTATAATAAACTGGTAATAGTAAGTAAAGTTTCTGAGTTGTGAGCCGCTCTATCAAAGTAATTGAAACCCAGGAGGGGTTTGTGGGAACCTCTGATCTATAGCTTCTTAGCAAAAGCACAGGTGACTAGACTTGTGATGAATGTCTGAAGTGAAGGTGGGTTGGGGGGCACTCTTAGAGAACTGAGCCCTCAACCTATGGAGTCTGATGCTATCTCCAGGTAGACAGTGTGAAGACTTGAGTTAACTGTGTGGTGGTGGTGTGTGGGAGGGAAACACATGTATTGGAATAATAAAGAGGAAAAACGAATGCCTGGGAGTTTCTAAACACTAAGGAAAATAAATTCCCACTATTACTATATGGTAGCATCTATTTAAATTTTTTTGGAGATTTTATTTGACAGAGAGAGACAGGGACAGAGAAGGACCACAAGCAGGGAGAATGGGAGAGGGAGAAGCAGGCTTCCTGCTGAGCAGGGAGCCTAATGTGGGGCTCGATCCCAGGATCCCGGGATCATGACCTGAGCCAAAGGCAGACGCTTAATGACTGAGCCACCCAGGTGCCCTTGGTAGCATCTTTAAATGCCTTTAAGTCCCTAAATAATAACAGCATTACAAAAAGCAGCAAACAATAGGTTTGCTATTAATCTCAACATTTTCATTCAAGGAATGGTATAATACTTAAGAGATTTCTAGGATAATTAACTATTGGCATCAAAATGTTGGCACTTCAGGTTACAGAATTCTAGATTTTCCTTTATCAGTTCCTTCCTTTTTAAAAAAATTATTTGAAAGAGAGAGAGTGAGAGCAAGCAGGGGGAGAGAGAGAGAATCTCAAGCAGATTCCACGCTGAGCGCAGAGCCCGATGTGGGACTTGATCTCACAACCCTCAGATCACAACCTGAGCCGAAACCAAGAGTCGGCTGTTGTTCACCCAGGTGGCTCATGATTCCCCACTTCTGATACAGAGCTCTTTCTAATATCTAAACCAGTGGTCTCTGAAGTTTTTTGATTTATATGCCTTTTAGTAAAACATTTTTGAGTATATATCACCAACATATGTGGAATTATTTATAAATTATTTACTTACACATCTATGTTAGTATAAGATATATACACAAACAAGACATTTAAAAAGAACAAGGTAAAAAGTATGTAGGACTGGGAAGTCTAATATCATCTTTTAGTTTGCCAGCTGGTTGCCTCATGTGCATGCTCTGGGGACTGCTGTTTAGGATCACACCTGTTGGGATCATCTCTACATGTACAATGATTGCACAGTTTGAGTTGTCCAGGCCTCTTCTTCCGTTTGGTGTCTCTCTGCTAGACGGCTTGGACTATATCATTGCTCGTGAGCACTTGGTCAGAGAATAACAAAGACTATGAAAACTATTCAGATTATCATTTTTGTATTGCTGTGCATAGTTATAATTGAGATGATGTTAAAACAAATGGCTATACTGAAGTACTGAATTATTTCTACTTGTAAATTACCCAGGGATCTCCAAGTCCATTTGATAGTCAAGATTTGCGGTTGACCCATCTGTCCAATACTACAACCTGTTTGCTATAGGGTGCTACTTGGCAGATAAGCTGTTCACTACCTAAGGTAAGTCAAGCCCTCTGGAAAGCACACAAACTAAATGAGCAGTAGTAGTTCAGTTTTATCCCACTTTAAGAATAATTGTAGGGGCGCCTGGGTGGCTCAGTCGGTTAAGTGTCTGCCTTTGGCTCAGGTCATGATCCTGGGGTCCTGGGTTCCAGCCCCGCATCGGGCTCCCTGCTCAGCGGAGAGCCTGCTTCTCCCTCTCCCCTTCACCCTCCTTGTGCTCCTCTCTCGCTCACTCTCTCTCAAATAAATAAAAGCTTTTTTTAAAAAAAAAATTTGTAAAACTATAATACACAATATGGGTAGATTAGTAAATGCTAACAGCAGAAATTTTTCTTTTTAAATATAAATATGAAAAGATTAAAAATATTATCATTTTAAAATACTAATAAAATGGGTAAACCTCAAGCAAATCTAATAAATATATCTAAATATAGCATTAATTAACACAAATATGACAATAAAGATCATATAAACAGTGATAATAATAGGGGGTATGGATGATTTTATAAGAAAATATAAATTTCTGAAATTGACTAAAGAAGAGGCAAAAACTTAGAGACCAATACCCAAAGAAAAATTAGTTTGTTAAAATTTCCAAGTTAATTCTTATTTCCTCAAGTTTCCCAAGGAATAAAAAGACATGGAATCAACTCCAGAAAAACAAAAACTGCAGGTAAGTAAAACTTATGACTATAGAAGCAAAGATCCTAAATAAAATTTTAGCAAATTGATTTTGCATATTTTAAATAATATTTTGCAGGTATTATAATAATAATACCTCATGATTAAATGGTATTCAGGAATGTGAGGATATCTCATTGATATAATTCATCATGCTAATATGTCAAAGAAGATAAAGCACAATAAACTAGGAATCAAGGATATTCTTTTTTTGGTATGTTTTTTGTTGTCTTTTTTTGATATTTTCTTAACCTGATCAAGGATATTTATCCAAGACAAACAGCTAACTTCATATTTGAAGCTAAAACATGAAAGGCATTCCCATTCAAAACAGGAATAAGACAATACAGCTCAACAGTCCTACTCTTTAAAAATATTATTTTAGACATTCTAGCATATACAATAGAGCAAAATGGAAATAAAAGATATAAATATTGAAAAAGTAGAGGCAAATGATATCTCTGCCCACTGTAATTATTTATCAATAAAATGCAAGGGAATCACTGAAAAACCTACGGAAATCAACAACAGAATTTAGTAAGGTGGCCAGTTACAACACAGACATATAAATTATGTTTCCCCCTATATTCTACTATAATGGGAAAGCAAATGCATTTGCAATAGCAATCAGTGTATAAATTTAAGGAATAACTTTATTTTTTTGAGGAATTTATTATTATTATTTTAAATTAGGTTCCATAAAGGTTCCATTCATAGTGAAGTAGAGATTTTGGTTCTTTAAGAAAGAAATTGGACCTATATGGGGCAGGGCTCTCTAAGACTTTACCGAATGACAGAAAATATTTGAATAAATGTAGAAATAGAACATGTTCATTATGAGGAATTTTCAAGATTTTGATTCTCTTCTAATTAATATACTGTTATCCCAGTTAAGAGCCCCAAATGCAATATAAGTATTTGGAAAGACTAATAAAACAGGGAGTTATTGTTTAATGGGTACAGAGTTGTAATTTTGCAAGACGAAAGAATTCTGGAGAGGGATGGTGGTGATGGCGACAGAACAGTGTGAATGTGCTTAATGCCACTGAACTGTACACTTACAAATGGCCAGGATAGCAAATTTTGTTTTGTGTATTTTCATACAATAGAACTATAAAAAATCTGAGTTATGTATTCTTTTCCATGAATATTTATAGGAATTCCACAGATCAAATATATATTTTGAAAATTAAAAAAACACCATAAAGCTATATAAAACAGTAAAGTGTACACTATAAGAAGAGACAAAAGGAACTCATAAAAATAAAGTTCAGGAACAGACTGAAATATATAAATATATAATAAATTAGCATTAGTAAAGGTGGAATTTCAAATAAGGGGCCAAATAAGGATTATTCATTCAACAAATGCTGAGAGAATAATTAGCTAATTATGAAGCATCAACAAAAAAGAAGTCAGATAAAAAAGCACTGAAAGAAAATACAGATTCACTAAGTCACCCAAATAGAATTGCTCTTGGCTATACAACACATCCAGCTGAGGTAATGATGCTAAGGGCTGTTTCATGATTTAATGGCTAGGGAGTTTCTGAACCTATCTTATGAGATGCAGAGACTACTGCACTCACATTGTTTTGGTCTTTGCTGCATTATTAAATTCTTTTAATCTTTGTTTTTATAATTTTTTCTAAAAGATATAAACTCGGAAAACTGTGCTATTAATATTCAATTACAGCATTTACATTTTTTTCCTAAGGAAATTCACTCATGCTGCAGAGCAATATGGCAAGTCTCTGAAACATTAGGAGTTATGGTTTTATGAAAAAAAAAAAAAGATAAAAAATATATTCAAGATGTAAACACTTTATAAATACAAATTATCTTTAACTGGGCATTTAAGAAGCAAAGGAGAGAGAAAGGTAATTCAGCACAGCAAAATCTTTACTTAAATGTCTCAATTTGATAGAAAGGTGAAGTGACAAAGACTGAAAAATATCTGATGAATCTAGCTATTAAACGTTATTAAATCTAGCTTGTGCCAATTCCGGGTGGGAGACTATATTTGTTTATATGTTGTCTTTCTAATGTGGCTTCATACCAGTGTTGAAATGCAAACCTTTGGGACACTGTCTACTGTATAATTACCACGATATTGTAAAGAATAAGAGGCATGGGTAGGAAAAATTTGACACTGAAAACATTTCAGGTTGATGGTCAAAATAGACTATGCTTTCTCTTTTATCAGGGAGAAAACTCATTTTTAAGTTGTGGGCTGGAAAGGTCCCTTAAGTCCTGCATAGGAATAATTCAAAGGTAAAAAAAATTAAAATCATGCGTTAAGCTGAAAATATCTCTGTTATATATAATTTAAATACCAACTTGTAAAAGCTTTTAAATTAAAGAAACGGCTCACCTTCCTCTGGTAAATAGCAATCCAATCCGTGGTGGCAAACCACTTGTGAGTTTTTATATCACTCACGCCATTCTTCAGGTTTCCAAACCGCTTCGTCAAATCCACCTGTAGCAGGTTCCTTAGAAGGTCCTTGAGATCTGAACTGAAGTGCGATGGGAATCGGACCTGTACCAACACACCATGTGGTCAAACATACGTTAGCATGGCCTCAACTTCCAACAGGGCAGAGACCTCTGAAGAAAATGCTTTAAAGGGTTAACAGATCCCTTTCAGAACTCTTTGCATTCTTACCGTGGTTCTCTCCAAGTGCCACCATCACCTTCTGACTCCTATTGCGCGTCATGACATTGCCTCAGTTGATCTTCATTTAGGTATGCTGCAATATCTGTGTATGTCTCTTTCCCCCAGACCATGACCTTCTGGAGGGAGGGTACTGTGCCACTTTTGTTTGTTATTCCCAGAATTTATTACATCATTTCAAATAATGTTGTTTGTCCAGTTAACAGTTATTGAGACCTACTATGTACTACACTGCTCTCACACTGGATATATAGCAATGAGCTATGACATACTTGGGGAATATGGTATTAATTCTATTCTAAAGATGGAGAAACTAGGATCCACAGACATTGTATAACTTACCCAATCATTAGACTACAAGGTGACAGAGTTGGGACTAAACATCTAGTCATGATTCCTAGGCTCATGAATTTTGTTCTTTATTACACGGTCTTCAAATATATAGCACTCCTTAATTTATATTCTGACTTTCAAAAAGCTCAACATGATGCGCATTCTCATATTGTCAAAGTATAAGTTAAATCATTAGCAGGCAAAGCTAGACTCTGTGGCAAAGCCAGATTCATAACTATAGTCTTCTAACTGCTACTTATGCTATTTTGTACATAAATGCTTCTCAAAGTGTGTTCCTAGGACCCACTTTCATCAGAATCAACTGGGAGAGTGGAGGGATAAAAATGCTGATTCCTGGGGCTTACTTCAAATGATGGGGGCATTGGGTCTGAAATTCTAAGGTTTTTATCTCCAAGTGATTCTTTCATATGTGCATGAAAACTTGAGAAACACTATTTGCAACTCCATTCACTGCTTTGTGCAGAAGTTTTATTTTTTCTGTTAGTGACAGATGAAAAAAATTTTAATGTAAATAAACTAAAATCATCATACTAGAGGAAAACTAATATTTGTGTCCAACAACCAAAGACTAATTGAAGGTCGAATAGCTAATAACTGAACAGGATCTGGGGTCAACTCATATAAATTAGCAACTAAAAGCCTCATTTTTGCAAAGCCTGTATTATCACAGATTATAAGAGGGGTTATGTTCTAAAAAAAAAAAAAACATGTGAATTGCCACTATCTTTAGTTTTTAATTCTAAAGGTAAAGTTTTATTTATACAATGGCTTATTAGAAGTTCATCACTGTGCTAAACTTCATGCGCACTGGCTCATAAAACCCAAAATTAATATTAAGGTAAACATGATTTGATCTCCATTTTACAGGTGATGCAATTGAAACTTACACAGATTAAGTTATTTGCCTGAGATTATAGAGCTAGTAAGTGGTAGCAGAGCTATAATTCCAAACCAGGTACTCTGACTTCAGAGTATACACTCTTAATTATTCTATACTGTTCTCATGATTCAATAACCTGAAAATAGTTATTGTCAGGACACTTCCAAAAGACTGAAATTTTCATCTTAAAAATATTTGCTGCACACTTCCTCATTTATCCTAGTTGGAGTAGAAACTACAGAATATGCTGTACTCAAAAGGCATACTGTCTAAAAATAACATGATTTATTTATACAGTGGTTATATTCCAACTTTGCTTAGATTCCAAAGAAGTAACTTATTTGAAGTAGAGCTATCTTTGTTTGGAATAGAGTCTGCATGAACTGTTCAATGTAATGTGCCAGTTATTTTCCCCTTCATGATGTTCAGAACAGTAGACAATAATGTACCACATATAAATTATCTTTTGAATTCAGGTAATGTGCAATAGAATGCTTAAAGAATATACACACCTAAATAGAGTAGTTCTTTATTTTGGAATGCAGATAAAGTGTTGGTATTGGATTAGTTAAGGTGTGTGTATATCTTTGTAATCTTAAGAAGAGTGATTCTCAAATGAGGAGTTGTGGTTGGGGGGTTGTGATGGTAGATATCAGAGTCATTTGGAAACCTTATCATATGATAGGCATATCCTCTTCACCTCCACATCACACCCTCTCTTCTTCCCCAGAGATTCTGTTAGGTAGCCCACACTCACATAGTAAGCATGTTAATGAGACTATGTCAGATCCTTTAAGTATACTGAAGGAGAAATAATGGGAATCATTATGAAAGTATTTTTTCTGTTTGTTCTGAAATGTAATCAGAAATGTAGTTTCTTTGTTGATTTGACTTTCCAAAGAGCCATGTTGATTCATCAAACTGAAACTAGCAAAAACCAGAAAATGACTTAAACACAATTAAGTTTTAGATGCAAGACTTTTCTTTATGGTACATTAACTTGGAAACACCAAAGATTTCTATAATGGGAAGAATGACTAATTTTTCCTTCAAAATTATATTAAGAAGAGTATTATTTCTATTACTATTATTAATTATAACTGCTGTAGAAATTGAAATCAGAATCCTAAAATATTGGAGCAAAGGGAGTTTTAGTTTAATTTAGTCCAAACCTTCATTTTAAGATAAGGAACCCAAGCTCCAGTGAGACTACCAACTCAGTTTCATTGTTGGGAAAATAACTTAATCCTCCTGACTTCTACGTCTTTCTGCCAGTCCATTATTGGGCAAACAATGTGAAAGTAGCTGAAAAAGAGCCAGATAGGGAAAAGAAAAAGTCTAGATCCATTAAACCATTAGATCTGAGAGATAAGATCGCTGGAAACTGGCATTAACATGAAAGAGGTATTTGCACAATATACACTTCCTAGAGTGTTTATTTGGTCTTCTCCCCCTAATTATTTCCTGGTTAGGATTATTTAAAACCTTTAGGGACTAAGTTACTGCTGAATTTCCTTATGATATATTCTTGAGAATAAATCTATTTCTACAGGTATGAGGTATAGACATACAGAACAAGCTTTTGACATACATTGTGTTTCAAAATAGTCTGTGATAATTTAAAAAATACAGATGTTTGGAATACACAGAAGACCAACTGAGTCAGTATCTCTGAGAGTGAGTGTCCACTTCTTGAAAGCTTCATGAAGGCAGAGACCATAACTAATCGCTGTATCCAGCACTGTCCTGACATATAATATGAACTCAATGAATATTAAATGAATGCAATAATTCAAATTTGACAAATAATGGATGCTAGGCACATAGTGCTTGGGACATAGTAGTAAACAAAATAAGACAGAGTCCTACCTTCACAGAGTTTACATTCTAGTGAGGAAGAGAAATGATAGACAGTAATTTAGCAAAATGTTGTCATCCTCACAAACTCTTGCACTGTAAGGTCTTTGATTTTTACTCTGAAGAAAATGGGGAATCATTGCAAGGTTCTGGAAGGAGTAACAGGATCTAATTTAACATTTTTAAAGAACCAGTCTAGTGATTCAGAAGACATCAATAAGTGGTGGTAAGAAGTGGTTGAATTCTGTGTATATTCTAAAGATAGATAGAGCCAAAATGGTTTTCCTGTGCATTATATACAGAGTGAAGACTCCAGGGTGTCTTGGCCTGAGTAACTGAAAGGATGGTGATGCCATCAACTGAGATGGAAAGAGCAGTGGGAAGAACAGATTTGCTAGGGAAAACAAAAGTCTGTTAGTTTTGGACGGATTTAGTTTAAGATATTTATTAGATACCTGAATGGAGATCTCAGGTAGGAAGTTGGCTACAAGGGTCTGCAACCCAAGAGTCAGGTATGGACTGAAAAAGTGAATTTGGAAATCGTCAGCTGGCATTTAAAGTCATGAAACTGGATGAAGACCACCAATGGAGAAAGTGCAGAGAAGAGAAGAGGACCAAGGCAAGGAAGTTGATAAGGAAAGATTAGTAATGCAGGAATAAAACTAAGATTGTGAAGAGTCACTGAAGCCAAGGGTACAGATAATAAATGAACCACTGAATTAGATTCTGTTTCTGGCTTTGCCACAAACTACCTTTCATCTTTGGGCAATTCTGAATCTTGATTTACCTACATATAGGATAACAGAGTTAAACTAAATAAAACTGAACATTCTTAACCATCTCAAAAATTCTACCAGCCTTTCATTTTCGTAGAAAGAATACCTGGGTTTCAGTCCCAACTCCAGTCACATACATGCTCTATGCTTTCGGGCAAACTCTTCCATCTTTCTGAGTCTCAGTTACCTCATCTTTAAAATGATGAAAGTATACTTCATCCCCCCAGGTACGAAAAGAAATTAGGTAATTTTTATGAAACTGACACAAGGCACTAATTCAATACATTTTTAATTTTTTTCAACCTTTCTGTTAGAATATTTTAATGATAAGGTGAATTTTGAATCAAAGAAGGAACTTGGAAGACAGCAATATCTATCACTAGATATCTAGACGACTCAAGGACAGTCTGTGCTAGAAAAGTCATTTGGAGAATGCAAGAAGTTCCTTCTTATGCTCTACCTGTTAATTTACAGAAAAGCACTTTCTTCTTTTCTAATGGTACTTAAATTTGGTAGAGTGAAGGAGAAAAAGGAAAACTATGACCCTATTTTAGAAAGACAGTATTGTAAATATACCTGATATTTTAAACAACTTCATCAAATTACATTATGTAATATGTTAAACCAATTACAAAATTCACTCTGAATTATGCAAACTTGATAGAATATTGGTTCTGCTTATAAAGTCTTATACATTTGGTTTTAGGAAAGATTAATATTTTCTAAAAATTAAGAGGAAGTTACATCCACAAAGCAAATCAGATCATGTTGTTACCATATCCATACTGGGTGATTTAAATTCACTAACCACTTTACCTTTTTTTTTTAGTTTTAGAAATAAAATAAGACCAAAATCAAATTTGTCTACATTCAATTTAATCACAAAATTACAAAGTTGATCTCTGACTGAAGAAGGGAAAATTTTTACTGCTATTCTTCTGCAAGTGACAGGGAGATGGCTTAACTAGTAACAGTACTTTTTATGCGTTGGGATAAAA